TGGTGGACACCTGTGATCCAGCTACTCAGGAGGCTGAGGCAGGTGAATCACCTGACCCTGGGAGGCAAATGTTGCAGGGAGCCAAGATCACGCCATTGCACTCCAGCCTGGGCAACGGAGTGAGATTCTGACTCAAAAAAAAAAAAAAAAATAAATAAAATAAAAATAATCTATCACATAACATAAAAAGGAGAAAAATCATTTTATTATATCAACTGATGAAGTAAAAAGCATTTGATGAAAGTAACACTAATTTATAATAAAAACGCTTAAGGAACTAGAATGAAAAGTTCCTTATATGATAAAGAAAATACCATATAAGGAAGCTTGATGAAATATTGAACCTTTAGCCCTAAAATTGGGAGACAAAGATGACAGCTATTAATGCTTGTACTCAGCATTATATAGGACATTCTAGCCAGCAACAAAGCAGTTAAAGAAACTGAAAGTGTGAATTGGAAAGGAAGAAATACAACAATCATTATTTTTAGTTGATGTTGGGTACTTGCCCAAAACAATCCACAGATAAACCATTAAAAATTAATAAGAAATTTTTTAGTAAGATTACTGAGTATAAGGTCAAACTAGGAAAATCAATTGTATTTCCATGTACCAAAACAATTGAACAAAAAAAAATTTAAAAGATACCATTTATTTTATTTTTATTTTAGAGACAGGGTCTTGCTCTGTCACCCAGGCTGCAGAACAGTGGGACAAACACAGCTCACTGCAGCCTTAACCTCCTAGACTCAAGTGATCCTCCTGCCTCAGCCTTCCATGTAGTTGGGACCACAGGTGTGCACCACCATACTCAGCTAATTTTTTTTTTTAAGAGACAAGGTCTTGCCATGTTGCCCAGGCTGGTCTCAAACTCCCAGGCTCAAGCAATCTTCCCACCTTGGCCTCCCAAAGTGCTGGGATTATAGGCATGAGCCACTGCAACCAGCCAAAAACCAAAAGATACCATTTAAAATAGCAAAAGATGGCTGGGCATAGTGGCTCACTCCTGTAATCCTAGCACTTTGGGAAGCCAACATGGGAGGATCGCCTGAGCCTGGGAGTTCGAGACCAGCCTGGGCAACATGGCAAGGTTCTGTCTCTAAAAAACAAACAAACAAACAAAAAAAAAAAACTAATTAGCTGAGAATGGTGGCATGCACCTGCAGTCCTAGCTACTCAGGAGGCTGAGGTGGGAGGATCACGTGAGCCTGGGAGATTGAGGGTGTGGTGACCTGTGTTCGCTCCATTGCACTCCAGCCTGGATGACACAGTAAGACCTTGTCTAACAATATTAATATAAAATAGCAAACAACACCAAATATCTAAGAATAAAACTAATAAAAGATGCACAAGTTACCTACACCAAAAATCACAAAACATTACTGAGAGAAATTAAAGAAACCCCAAACAAAAGAGGGTGAGGCATGTTTGTGAATCAGAAGACTCAATATTATAATAGTGTCAGTTCTCTCCAAACTGATTCATATAATTAACTAAATCCTAAGAAAACTATTAAGACTTTTTTAATGGAAATTGAAAATCTGATTCTACAATATGTAAGATAATGCTACGGGCTAAGAATAGCCAAGATAATCTCAGAGAATATTGTTAGAGAACTTGGATAAACACTTACAAAAGCTAGAATAATTAAGATAGTGTAGTACTGACATAAGGATAGACAAAGATCAATACAACAGATTCGAGAGACCAGAAATGAACTCCCAAATTTATGGTCACCTGATTTATAACAAAGATGACGTTGGAATGCAGTGGGGGAAAGAATGACATTTTATTTTATTGTTATTTTTTTGAGATAGAGTCTCACTCTGTCATCCACGCTGAAGTGCAGGCACAATCTCAGCTCACTGTAACTTCCGTCTCCTGGAGTCAAGCGATTCTCCTGCCTCAGTCTCCCGAGCAGCGGGGACTACAGGCATGTGCCACCGCGCCCAGCTAATTGGCTAATATTTTTGTATTTTTAGTAGAGACAGGGTTTCAATATGTTGGCCTGGCTGGTCTCTAACTCCTGACCTCAAATGACCCACCCACCTCAGCCTCCCAAAGTGCTGAAACTATAGGCGTGAGCCACCATGGCCAGCCAATATTTATTTATTAAAATACACTGTAGCAAGAACTATGATAATTACCAGGACAAGATCATGCATCTTAAAAAAAAAATTCAGAATACAAATGTAATAAGGCAGTCAAGCTGTGATTTCTGTAAAGCTTTCTAACTTGTTCAAGATACCAAAGTGCACTAACACTTGACTTATTAACAATTGACTCTTTGGTTACCTCTGCTATTAGAAAAAGACAATACATCAGGCATAATACCTATATAACCATGAAACTCCATTTAGTGGGGAAAGCTATGGAACATGCTATCAGACAGACCTGGATTTCTGTTCTAGCTTGCAACTTACTGTCTGTGAGATGCTGAACAAGTCGCTTAAATTTTCTAACCTCAGTTTTCTTACCTGAAAAATGGAGATAAAGAGATAATTTCCCATACCTAAGGTAGACTGGAGGTAAGGTGATTTACTGGACAAGGAAGGAGATGCCTGATATTGTTATCTGAATATGGCAAAGACATGAAGATTAAATGATTATGCCTCAAACTTAACTTTTCCACAATAGTTTTTATTTTCCATATCCAACTCTACTACTCTTCCAGATTTTCTCATTCTACTAAATGATTAAGGCTAGAAATAAAACTTGAGTTTCTTTTCCTTACCATCTCCAACACTTCATTTATCAGCAATTCAGTCAGCCCTATCTCCAAAAGTATCCCTGACTACTTTTCCCTGTCTTTGTTGCCAACATTCAAGTCCAAACTGTCCCAGACTCTGCAACAGCCTTCGCCCTGCTTCTGCTTTCACTCACACTTCAATGGACTATTCAGCTGTGATCTTTTAAAAATGGGATTCAGATTACACCACTCCAGCTCTAATAGCTTCCCAGTGCAAATGAAATAAAATCTAAACTCTTTACTGTGGCCCATAAGGCCCTATACAATCTGGCTCCCACCTACTTCTCTTATTTTGTACTCCTTGACCCTACATTTCCTGGAATTTAGACCTATGCTGTCTGATATGAGAGCTATGAGCCACATGTGGCTATTTAAATTAGAATTAAAATTCCGTTCCTCAGTCACGTAGCCACACTTCAAGTTCTTAATGGACAGAAACATATAGCTATTGGCTACTGAACTGGATATCACAAAATGAAAGATTTCCATCAGCACAGAAAGGTTCATGGGACAGCACTGCTCTAGACACATGGCAAGCTCATTCCTACCATCAGGACTTTGTACTTACTACTCCCTCTTCTGCAAGGCTCTTCCCCCAGATTTTGAGATGGCTGGCTCCGCCCTCTAAATTAGATTGGACCATTCAATCTGAAATAGCTCCTTACCTCCCCCATTCCCAGATATTCTATATTCCTTATCCTGTTTTATTTTCTTCACAGCATTCATCACTATCTGAAATTATTTTGTTTTATTCTTCTGTTTCCAATGACAGAATGTTAGCTCCATGAAGGCAGAGACTATGTTTGTGTGCTCACAGCTGTATGTATAGTGACTGGAATACCACCTGGCTCATAGGAAGTGTAAAATAAATTGTTGAACAAAGCAGTAAATATGGACCTGAAAGAACATGAGTTTTGGAGTTAAATCAACCTGAATTCCACTCTTAACCCTTCCATTTACCAGCTGTCAAATCTAAAGAAAAGTTATTTAATCTCCGAGCCTAGTTCATAGTGTTTTCATGAAGATTAAGACAAAGCATGCAACATGCCTTGGATTGTTACTATTAAAACAGCCCCTTACTGAGGCAGGAGAATTGCTTGAACCTGGGAGGTGGAGGTTGCAGTGAGCCAAGATCGCGCCACTGCACTCTAGCCTGGGTGACAAAGCCAGATTCCATCTCAAAAGACAAACAAACAAACAAAACAGCCCCTTAAAGTTGGGAGAACAGAAAAACACCAAAAAAAAAAGTGGGGGGGATGGGGGTGTCACACCTGTAATCTCAGCACATTAGTTGGGAGGCCAAGGCAGGCAGGTGACTTGAGGCCAGGAATTCAAGACTAGCCTGGCCAACATGGCGAAACTCCATCTCTACTAAAAATACAAAAATTAGCCCGTAGTGGTGGCACATCCCTGTAATACCAGCACTTTGGGAGGCCGAGGAGGGTGGATCACCTGAGGTCAGGAGTTTGAGACCAGCCTGGCCAATATGGTGAAATCCCGTCTCTACTAAAAATACAAAAATTAGCTGGGTGTGGTGGCACACGCCTGTAAGCACAGCTACTCAGGAGGCTGAGTCAGGAGAACCACTTGAACCTCGGGAGGCAGAGGTTGCAGTGAGCCAAGGTTTCGCCACTGTACTCCAGCCTGGTCCACAGAATGAGACTCTGTCTCAAAAAAATATAAAAATAAATGATTATTATAGTAAAGCAGACCCTTTCCTCTTTTCTACTATAGAAAATAACTATCATTAATTAATTAATGAACTTACTTTTTGGACACAAAGTCTCATTTTGTGGCCTACACTGGAGGACAGAGGTGCAATCATAGGTCACTGCAGCCTTGACCTTCTGGGCTCAAGCTATCCTCCTGCCTCGCCTCCTGTGTTACTAGGACAGCAGAAAAATATAAGAGCTATTTTTGAACACTTAAGCCTTCAGCTTAGCATACTACATTAGATTTTAACTCTGCGGTAGAGATTCTGATAGATTTAGATTTATAGTTCTGATTCTGGTAGTGTTTGATCCACCACTACCTAGAGTGGAACCATGATCTAGTCACTACTCTCTGAAGCTCAATTTTCCTTTTCTTAAGATGGTTCTATTAAGATTAGAGAACTAGTAAGATCCTTTCATTTTACCACTGAGATTTTTCAATTTCATTATCTTATAGATAACTGTACTTCCTTTATCTTTCCAAATGAATTATGATGATGAATTATGATGACAAGAAATCATTAATATTTAATACAAACCTCCATCAAGGCTCCGGGATGCCCGTTTACTTGCTGTACGCTCAAAGTGTGGGGCAGGCCTGTCAATTAGAGCACTAGCTTGCCTGGTCTGAGCTTGAGTCCGGCCACTATATCGAAATTTGGATCCCAGTGCAAGAAATTTGCTTTTGGGAATGGTATCTGTAGATGTCAATCTGGGGGGGGGAAGTCATAATAGTCATATTATTATATATTCATCTCATCATTGTAACACTGTAGAAACAAAATCAAGAATAAAAAAGTTTCACATTTCTTAGGGTTTCCACAGTTACTAAGAGATTTTCAATCAAGTAACCATTATTTTAGTTCTTTGTCATTTCTCAAAGCAACCAGTATAATTTAGTTGGGACCTATATTAATAGCATCATTTATATCTCTATAGAAAGGGCCTTATAGTTTTCAAAATGTTTTTATAGCACTACAGTATTTTTGCTACATCCTTGTAATGTTTTCACCATTTTATAGATATAGGAAACTGAACCTCAAAAAAGAAGTTACTTGCTTAAGATCACACAGCTGTTAGGATTTTGGCAGTAACAAAGTCCAAGCACAGAGCTCTTTTTCCATTCTACTAGAATCACAGTTTTGTCAAATGTCCTCCAAACTGAATTAATCCCTAGTAATCTATTTAACAGGTTATTTGGTAAACTTTTAAACTCAGTTAGAAACCCCATCTTTTTCTGATGCAGTACTCTATGTATGCTTTGTACCATACTGAATTAAAACAATCTATTTCTATGCTGGTCTCCCCTACAAGACTGAATTCTCTAGGAGTAAAGAACAAAGACCATGACTTATTCATCTTTGTGTTTTGGCGTCTGGCATAGTGCCTAGCATGAATATGGTACCCCATAAATATTTGTTGAATAAATACACAAATTACTACATCAAATACTACCAAAAAGAGAGTATTTTTCCCTTTGAGATAATTAATTTCAATTCAGCAAACATACACTTTCTTTTATGTAATGGAGCATTACATTTTAAGGTATCCTTTTATTTTGATGCAACAGATTTAAATATGCCATCCTACAAATAAGTATACTGGCTGCAGCTGAAATCTATACCACAGTTATTAGATATTCAAAAATCACTCTTTTTCACTCCTTGCCCTTTTTTAAAAATTCTACTTCTGTGGTTTGATTTTAAAGGAGGGATGATGAAAGCATAAATAAATGTGTTAATGCCAATAATTAAGATTCTTTAATTGGGTATAAAATGCACCCTCATGTTTTATTTTGAAATAACTGAAAAATATTTTCCTTGATTTTTCTCCCTGTCAATTGTGCTATAGTGCTATTATATGAAAATATAAATAGGAAAAGATATGAGGATTATCTCTCTCTCTTTTTCTGTGGAGAGCCATTTATAAAGAATTAAGTTTATTTATGAAACAAATGATGTGAGGCCTGGGATTTGCTTCAAAATAATCTTGGAAGTAGGGGGAAGGAGTAGGTAGGGATACAGATGAAACAAGATTGGCTTTGGGATGATAATTACTGAAGCTGGGTGATAAATACAAGGAGATTTTATTGTACTGTTGCTACATATGAAATTTTCCTTAATGAAGAAATTCTTAAAAAGGCAAACTAGGGCAGGTGTGGTGGTTCACGCCTATAATCCCAGTACTTTGGGAGGCCAACGTGGGCAGATTACCTGAGGTCAGGAGTTTGAGACCAGCCTGGTCAACATGGCAAAACCTCGTCTCTACTAAAAATTTAAAAATTATCTAGGCATGGTGGTGTGTACCTGTAGTCCCAGCTACTTGGGAGGCTGAGGCATCATGTTACTGCACTCCAGCCTGGCAACAGAGTGAGACTCTGTCTCAAAAAAAAAAAACAAAAAACAACAAAAGGCAAACTGATAAATAACTAGCTAGTTCTCCTTTTAACTAGCTAGTTCTCTAAAGTCTGTCTTCTCTACTAGATTGGGTGTTCCATCATGAGAGAGACTAGAACTATCTTTTGGTATATTCCCAATGCCTACCATGGTGCATACAAGAAGGGTAAGCACACAGAAAATGTTTGGTAAATAAATTCAAGGGGTTAACAATATGGCCTCTTGGCACGGTGGCTCATGCCTGTAATCCCAGCACTTTAGGATGCCAAGGCAAGTGGATCACTTGAGGTCAGGAGTTCAAGACCAGCCTGGACAACACAGTGAAACTCCGTCTCTACTAAAAATACAAAAAATAGTCAGGCATGGTGGCGGGCATCTGTAATCCCAGCTACTTGGGAAGCTGAGGCAGGAGAATGACTGGAACCCGGGAGCAGCCAGCACAGACTGCACTCCAGCCTGGCAACAGAGCAAGACTCCATCTCAATCAAACAAACAAACAAAAAAAGCAGAGGAAATGCTTTCTTCTGTCTTCTGATTATCTGGCACAATTAGGCTTCAAATATAGTTCTGTGTGCTCCCTTTCTGGGGTTGATAAGAGCCAAGCTAACAATCAGCTTCACATCTTTAACCTTGTCATATATAAAAGCCTCACAGAAAGCAGTTAAGCATTGCTTAAAGAAACTCCATGTAGAAAAAATAATAATAAAACAAAAAAATAAAAATTCTGTCAGGTGCAGTAGCTTACGCCAGTAATCTCAGCATTTTGGGAGTCTGAGGCAGGCGGATCACAAGGTGAGGATTTTTGAGACTAGACTGGCCAACTGTTTCAATAGCCAGTGAAACCCCGACTCTACTAAAAATATAAAAAATTAGCTGGGCATAGTGTCGGGTGCCTGTAATCCCAGCTACTTGGGAGGCTGAGGCAGAATTGTTTGAACCGGGGCAGAGGTTGCAGTGAGCCGAGATCATGCCACTGCACTCCAGCCTGGGCGACAGTGCAAGACTCCATCTCAAAAAAAAAAAAAACAAAAAAACTTCATGTGGAGGCAAATGAGGGTAACTTCCCTTAATCAGACTGACTTTAGCTACAATTTGTACAATCCCAGAGCCCCTAATAAATGCAGGTTTCCATTCCTTACTCCTTTCTTCCTTCTACCATACATAGAAAGGTGCTTTGGAAATGTTGAGGCATACTTTTCAACCCAAAGGGAGAGAAATGGATTCATTTTGTCTTGCTTAAGATGATCTCACCGGAGCTAAATAAAAGAGTGCCAGTCAAACAAAGAAAGGAATTTTAATAGCAGGCTTAAAATAGAAACATTATAAATAATTTATCCTTGAAAAATACTTAAGTGAGAATAATACCTGAAAAACGTGTGATGTTCTACACAGACTTTCCATAATTTCTTAGCTGCTCGGTAACTGGGAAGTTTGAATCCGATGGTACTTTCATACTGTTCTTGCTACAAAAACACAAATAAACATGGGACATGAAGTTATTACATGTGATACAGTACCAGATTACAGTGATCAGTACCAGAGAAATATGGTGCCACAGAAGAGGCCATTGTTACCAATTTAAGGACATAAAATGCTTTTTAAATTTTTTCCTACTTACTGAAAGAAATTCACTCACTGGGGGTGGCTTTTTCCAAAGCAAGAAAACCAGGGAATACATCTCACATCATCTATGCATGTTATTTTGTTTTTCAGAAAACACACACACATTCACTATACATTTTTCTGAGACATAATTAAGTCACCTTTTGATTGTCCAGACACTGCTTTTCCTTAGTCCCTATCTGCATTTGAGATACTATTCAATGAACAAGGAATGGTATATTGACCAAGTTCTCCAATCAATCAATATTACTATGCAATAGAAATTAGTAATAGGAGCTAAAGATTTTAGTTCAAGTCAGATTTTTAAATCAATCTTTTAAGCTGACTAATAAAAATTATATATACTTATCATCTATGACATGTTGTTTTGAAATATGTATACTCTGTGAAACGGCTAAATTGAGCTGATTAACATATGTATTACCTGACATATTTATTAATTTTTTGTGATGAGAAAACTTAAAATCTAGTCTCTTAGCAATTTTTCAAGAATATAATACATTGCTATTAATGATAGTTCACCATGTTGTACAACAGATCTCTTGAACTTATTCCTCAGATTCTTAAATCACTAAATGTTTCTCTTTTTTTCCTTTGATTGATGATTAATTTATCTAGATACCACTTTAACTGAAGCAAACCATATTCTGCCAGGGCTACTAAAAACACTGTCCTGTTGACCTTTCACCTCTTTGTTTCTACTTTAACCATTTTTTTTTTTTTGAGACAGAGTCTCACTCTGTTGCCAGGCTGTAGTGAAATGGCCCGATTTTGGCTCACTGCAACCTCCTCCTCCCAGGTTTAAGCCATTCTCCGGCCTCAGCCTCCCAGGTAGCTGGGACTATAGGTACGCATCACCATGCCCAGCTAATTTTTGTATTTTTTTTTAGAAGAGACAGGATATCACCATGTTGGCCAGGATGGTCTCAATCTCTTGACCTTGTGATCCACCTGCCTCGGCCTCCCAAAGTGCTGGGGCTACAGGCAACAGCCACTGCACCCGGCAAACTTTAAGCATATTTTATAAGATGGAAAGGAAACTAACACTTATTTTGTGTCTACTATTGCCAATAACATTATGATTAGATAGTATTATCTATATTTTTACACATGAAGACACTGAGGTCAGAGAAGTTTTTTTTTTTTTCTCTTTTTTTAACTTTTTTTTTTTTCTGCCAGATACCTCTAGTTCAAGAGGTCAGAGAAGTTATTTGCTCATTTCCACAGGTATGAAATGACAGAACCAGATTTTCACCCTCTTCACCATACCACACCACAGTGAAATCATCTATTGCAGCCACAATACTCTGTTTCTCAAAATCCTGTTATTCTTGATTATCTTCTTAAATAAGAATTCTACCTTTTTAGAAGCTAAAGACTTCCCATTATCATATTAACATGTGTGAGGGGTGGGATTCTAATTTGCTGCTATATTCCTGGTCCCTAGAATAGTGTCCAACACAGGAAAGCTCTCAATAAATATTTATGGACTGAATAACTCTTGAATTTGAAATTTTAAGGGAAGACACTGATTGCTCTGTGCTAGGCATAGGTAAATAATTACGATACAATGCTTCTATGGTAATCCCCATCCAAGATTTTTAAGGCTGCACATCCAGAATTTCCACGCTCAAATAAAGAGCCATTTTTCACCAGCAGATGGTGATGTATACATAAAAAAGCTACATAAGGTTAGTATCATTTCCTACATAGAACTTTTACAGCTGTCATCTCATTTGATCTTCAAATAACTATGATGGAGAGGTTATTATCCTGTTCAAATGATAAGGAAGTTGAGCCTTAGATTTGTCCAGGTCTTTTGCTTAGTATGTGGCAGAAAAGAAGCCAGAACTTTTTTTAAAAAAACTTTAATTCCTACTTTAACAATTTTATGCTATTCCATAATGGCTCTTCAATACAAAAGTTAAATTTGGCCAGCATTAGTATATCCTGAAACCAACTAATAAATGAATTATCTGGTATGAAGTTGAATATTCAACTCTATTAAAAATCTAGAACTTGGCCCTAGAACACACTCTCAGTAGCCATGAGAAGCTACGCATACAAATAAATTTTAATTATATGAGGTAAGGGATTCATGGGGCCGAAAATGAGTAATTTATCCTCCCAAATAATTTTAAAATCTCATGCTACTCAATTTAAAAATATTTTTCCATTAAGTTTTTGCTTGGAGTAAACAAGGAACAAATCTATCAGTTTAACTTTTTGTGATGGCATATTTACTTATAAAAAGTGAACGTCCAGAAGACCAGTAGTAAGAGAAAGCAGCAGCATCACAGGACTGATCAACTTAGAAAACGGAATTATCAGTCCTTGAATAGTTAACTACAGAGAAACTTCTTAGATGACTTAATCAGGAAAATGGAAATGAACAGATATGTCAGATACAGTCTGCATCTGGTTTAGCAGGAAGGAAATACAAATTCTGTACCTCTCCAGGCCGAATCTTGATGAAAAAGCTGCTACGTTTATAAGAAATCTTTAGCACTTTGGGCCAAGGGAAGCGGTTAATTCTCAGCTTATCTTTGTAAACCAGGAGGCCACTAGAGCAGACACCTAGGATGATGTCTACTCCCTCCAAGTCCTGAAAAAGAAAAATGTTAGCATTTCAGTCTGGAGCAAAGTACTCATTATACTGTTGACTATTACTAGATAATCTGAAGATAACCAAAACCAGTTACAAAACATACAATGAAAAAGAAAGCTTAGTCTAACAATTATAATTTATGGGCCTATTATGTTTAAATCAGCAGTCATGACTTCCTGGAAAGCAGGGCTTAGAGCTAGGTATACTATCAAAAATATATGCACAATTATTAATATAATTCTTGTTTTTTTATGATAAAGCGGTAATAGCTCCAGAAATCATGTTAAGTGCAGGAGTTAACTCTATTCCTATATAAACTCAGCACAAAACAATCTTAGGCTCTTAAAATCGATGTTAACTATATTAAATTAAAAATATGATCCCTAAGTCAAGATGTTACATTAAGGCACAATGAAGTCATATTTACATGCCTCTTTATTTATTTACTTATTTTTTGAGACAGTCTCGCTCTGTCACCCAGGCTGGAGTGCAGTGGTGGGATCTCATCTCACTACAACCTCCACCTCCTGGATTCAATTGATTTTCCTGCCTCAGCCTCCTGAGTTGGGATTACAGGTGCACACTACCATGCTATTTGTTTGTATTTTTTGTAGAGACGGGCTTTCACCATGTTGGTCAGGTTGGTCTTGAACCCCTAACCTCATGATCCACCTGCCTCGGCCTCCCAAACTGCTGGGATAAACAGGTGTGAGCCACCGCACCCAACCTACATGCCACTTTATTAAAGAAAACTTTTAAAAAATTAAATATGTAATATTAATCATTTATATCTGTAATTCAAAAATCAATTTCAGCTGAGTTAGTTCCTACAGCTAAGATTGTTTAGATAAGTAATCAAAACACAAAGTTAAATGCTTCTTGACTACTCTTTTCCTGAAAATGAGTACAGATAAATATATTAGTGCCTACATGTATTATATACAAGCATAATAGAGAAGTAGAAATTACATAAATTTCCAATTCAGTGACTGTGTAACTGAGGATTTCCCAGAAGATACCCTCTTAAATTTTTAAAGCTTGTGGGTATAACTACATCTCACTTTGGAAAAACAATTTGTTTTATAATACTGCATCAATACCTGACTTGACACCAGTTTCCAGCAGGAATTGAGAAGTAAAATCCAACAATTTCAGTTCTAGAAATATATCTAATCTGATGTACTGATCTTCCTCCAATATACTTTAGAGATTCATAGAAGTTGTAGTACCCAGCCAAAAACAATTCAGAGCAATTTTTTTTTTTTTTTTGAGACAAGGTCTCAACTGTTGCCCAGGCTGGAGCACAATGGTGCAATCTAGGCTCACTGCAGCCTCTACCTCCTGGGTTTAAGCAATCCTCCCACCTCAGCCTCCAGAGTAGCTGGGACCACCAAAGGAACACACCACCATGCCTGACTAATTTTTTGTAATATCTATGGAGACAGGGTTTCATCATGTTCCCCAGGCTGGTGTTGAACTCCTGAGCTTGAGCGATTGACCACCTCAGCCTCCCTAATTGTTGGGATTACAGGTTTGAGCCACTATGCCTTGCACTGAACCTCCCCAGCAACTTTAGTAGTTGAAGATGAGAAAAGTCAGGAGACTTTCCTTAAGTATTCATTCCGTTAGGCTGCATTAGGTAAAACTAGGATTAAAGCTTCAGTTTCCAGGGTCCTATCCTAGTGGTTTTTGAATGAGCCACTGTGGTTCATTCAGTGTGCCTCAGAATAACCTGGAAAACTTGTTAAAATGTATTGAGCTGAGCTCCACCCCCAGAGATTCTAACTCAGCAAGCCTGGGAAGGGGCCTGAAATATGCATTTCTAACAAGTTCCTAAGTGAGGCTAAATGTTGCTGACTCAGAGACCACACTTTGAGAACCACTACTGTAGGCCAATGGTTTTCATATTCAAGCATGAATTAGAATCATTTGGATGCTTATTAAATCTGGAGATTCTAGAACCTTTTCTCCAAATTAATTCTATAAATATGAGAAGAGCTCAGGAATCTCCATATTTAATAAACACCCCCTTGGTGATTCTCATGTAGGTGGTGCTGGCTGTCAAACAGGTCTGCTGCCCACTGCTCTACATTTTTAAATGTTACTACCTTTTAGGAAAATCAATTTCCTTTTCTCTAGGGGGCTATCTTTTGATCTTAACAGTAGCTTGGATATGAAACTTTATTCGAGAATGGATATGCTAAGAGGAAAATTCAATTGATACAGTTGACTGATTTCACTGATACACTTAAAATGCTAACAAGAACTACTATTTCCCTCTTTTTTTTTGAGATGAGGTCTTGCTGTCACCGGGGCTGGAGTGCAGTGGCACAGTCATAACTCACTGTGTCCTCAACCTCCTGGACTCAAGTGATCCTCCCACCTCAGCCTCCTGAGTAGCTGAGACTACAGGCACAAGCTGCTGTGCCTATCTAGTATCTCTTCTGAATGTTTTAAAATACCCCAGTTGTTGGTAAGAAGTATTATATGACACAAATGTGATACATGCATAACAGATATGTATCATATAATGTCTTACACATGGATATTAATAAAGGACAAAGTTATCATTACCTTTGCTTTATGAAGATCAACCCCATACATAGACAACTTTTTGGCATTCTCAAGAAATTCCAAGTCAGCCTGTGCTGGAGTCATGGATCTTTGATAGAATAAAAACATAAAATTCTTTCAGTGTCATAGTGTCAGCATTTACAGTAACATTTATATATTCATTGTATTTAAAACACATGAACATATACATACCACTATGTATATAAGATATACTTCCTAGTCCTGAATGTAGGTTATTATGGAATAGGATTCATCACTACCTCTATTTAAATAATTAAAATATGCCTTAGAAAAAGATATCAAGGGGAAACAAAAAGCCACCAAAAATCTATCCCCTCCAATTTTTTTCAATACTACTAAACAGTTTTCTTTCTTTCTTTTTTTTTTTTTTTGAGACGCAGTTTCACTCTTGTTACCCAGGCTGGAGTGCAATGGCGCGATCTCGGCTCACCGCAACCTCCGCCTCCCGGGTTCAGGCAATTCTCCTGCCCCAGCCTCCTGAGTCGCTGGGATTACAGGCACGCACCACCATGCCCAGCTAATTTTTTGTAGTTTTAGTAGAGACGGGGTTTCACCATGTTGACCAGGATGGTCTCGATCTCTTGACCTCGTGATCCACCCGCCTCGGCCTCCCACAGTGCTGGGATTACAGGCTTGAGCCACCATGCCCGGCCCTACTAAACAGTTTTCTTAAAGCTATTTCATCTATCATTAGTTCTGCCCCTTTCGCTTTACTCTTTTTCTCCAACATATATAAACTCCTCCCACTAATTTTTCTTGCCAAGGAGATGATCAAATTAAATCCTCAGAGGGCATGGTGCAATTTACGATATCCTCTTATAGCCACCTTTTTCTCTCCATACCCCTGAATTGAGTTATGGAAATTAAACAAGAGGGCAGCTAATGTTATTTAACTGAGGACTCTTAATTGGGGCAGGCTTGATGAAAAGAAAATTTCTGGTAACAGATGGTGTCTTGTCCACTGATATAAACAAAATAAACTGGTTAATAGAAGCACATAGATAATGGTGTGTTGCTTTCTCTGTTATTAATATGTCTTCATTACCAGGCATATAATGAATTAGATTTGTTTGAAAACAGTCAGTCTCACTGTCTAAACACTCACTGTGACAGTCTTCTCTCCTCTATAAATTTTCCCTCTTTTGAAAAGTGTTCATGAGCTGTTACATAGAGCTTTCAAGACAAAAATATCACTCCTAATGCTGCACAAGTCAGACCAATCAAGTATAACTTCACAGTAACAATAATACAGCCACATCCCCAAGGAAAAAATATGTAAATGCCAGTTTCCCATAAGACTGCCTCAAGCTAGAGAAAGCTGGAGGGGTCTCTTCATTTAACACAGAAAAGTCTCTTCCGAATACATCTGTGTTTACCCTAATTAAAAAGACAAAGGATTCCTTGGAACAACCACCACCAAAATATATATATAACAGGAGAGAGGCTGCAGATTTGTTAATGACTCAGACTTCGTGAATAAACTTATTTTCACAAGCACTGAAGCATTCTATAAATTCTATTCATTAACGAACCCGAAATTGAAGAACAAAAGAATGGAAAATTAGCCCCTTATGCAAGTCTCTATATTCAAGTCATTAAAAGCATTTCAGGAAAGTTTTGTACTTTAAAATTGTTTTTCCATCTAAATTACATACATTATTTTCTTTTTCTTTTTTTTGAGATGGAGTCTAACTCTGTCACCCAGGTTAGAGTTCCAGCTTTCAGCTGACCGCAACCTCTACCACCTGGGTTCAAGTGATTCTCCTGCCTCAGCCTCCCAAGTAGCTGGGATTACAGGTGCGTGCCACCACGCCCACCAACATGGGGCTTCACCATGTTGGTGAGGCTGGTCTCGAACCCCTGACCTTGCGATCCACCTGCCTCAGCCTCTAAAAGTGCTGGGATTACAGGCGTGAGCCACCACGCCTGGCTAGTTACATTTTTTTCTAGTTAGTGTTACTCCTATTTTATGTTTCTGTTGTTGTTACTGTTATCAATGAGATGAATTTTAGGATTTTCTTTTTCTTTTTTCTTTTTTTCTTTTTGAGACAGGGTCTCACTCTGTCACCCAGGCTGCAGTGCAACGGTGCGAACACAGCTCACTGCAACCTCCACTTCCCAGGCTCAAGTGATTCTCCCACCTCAGACTCCTGACTAGCTGGGTCTACAGGTGAGTGTCACCCCAGCTAATTTTCTTATTTTTTGTACAGAGGAGGTCTCAGTATGTTGCCTAGGCTGATCTTGAACTCCTAAGCTCAAGCCATCCTCCAGCCTCAGCCTCCCAAAATAGTAGGATTACAAGCATGAGCCACCACTCCTGGCTGAATTTTAGGATTTTGAAGCTGGAAAGGAGTTTGAAGTTTAAAGAATATAACAATTTAATTTTGCTGTTGAAGAAACAGGTCCTCAGGGATCACATTATCACAGGCAGGTCAGGACCCTTAGTTGAGACAGCAGACTTAAGTCAGAACTCAAGTCACATTACTTAGGCCAGAATCCAGGCTCCATGAGTGGTCAGCCAGTGTCTCCCTCCATCTCCTCTACAAAACAAGAATCATAATAATGTGTATTTCCAGATACTAGGACAGGCAATGATTTTTTTTGTTTTTGCTGAATGAATGAATGTTACTATTAGGATTGAAATAATGGTTGTAAAACTGCTTTATAGACATGAATAGTTATTATTATTGCAACCTCAGTTTTCTGATAGTCCAATGGTTCATCTACATACAGATCATAAAATTAAGAGACACAATTTGGATCACTTGAATTTGAAGACAAATTTTAAAACATTAAATAAAACAATCATGATAAAAATCTTCCCTATACTCACTCCTCCTGCCCTACCCTAAGGGACATTAATAGGGTCAACCAATTTGAATATAGATTTAAATTTCACAGTATGTAGTTAGATGCTTCTATAAATAAGCATGCTTTACATGCTTCTATAAATAGCATGCTTCAAAAAATAAGGAGAGATCTTTAACTTTAAAATTTCCTTGTTAGTTGAAAATAATATTTATATTTGCAGTTTGATGTTTGCATTTAAAATTTTTAACCTAATTTTTAGCCAGGCTCAGTGGCACACACCTATAGTCCTACCTACTCCGGAGGCTGAAGCAGGAGTATTGCTTGAGTCTATGAGCCTAGGTGACATAAAGAGACCTTGTCTCTAAAAAAAGAAAGAAAAGGAATAATTCTAGCTGGGTGCAGTGACCTGCAGTCCCAGCTACTTGGGAGGCTGAGGCAGGTAGATTGCTTGAGTTTAAGGTTGCAAGTGAGTTATAATTATACCTGTAAATAGCACTGCACTTTAGGTTGCACAACATAATAAGATCCCTTTAAATTTTTTTAAAAAATATATAAAACTAATTTAAGCAAAAAATTATTATTATTTTTTGAGTCTCACTCTGTTGCGCAGGCTGGAGTGCAGTTGCATCATCTCAGCTAACCACAACCTCCACCTCCCGGGTTCAAATGGTTCTATGGTTCATCTGCCTCAGCCTTCTGAGTAGCTGGTAGCTGGGACCATAGGCGCGCACCACTACACCCAGCTAATTTTTGTATTTTTAGTAGAGAAGGAGGGGTTTCACCATATTGGCCAGGCTGGTCTCAAACTCCTGACCTCATGATCTGCCCACCTCAGCCTCCAAAAGTGCTGGGATTACAGGCATGAGCTACCATGCCTGGCCAAGAAAAAAAAATTTTTAAGAGACAGGGTCTTGCTCTGTTGCCCACGTTGGAGTGCACTGGCACCATCATGGCTCACTGCAGCCATGACCTCCTTAACTCAAGTGATCCTCTCGCCTCAGCCTCCTGAGTAGCTGGGACCACAGGCGTGTGCCACCGCACCCAGCTAATTTATTAATATTTTTATTTTGGTAGAGACAGGATCTCCCTTTGTTGCCCAGTCCTGAGTAGCTGGGACTACAGGCATGTGCCACCACACCCAGCTAATTTTTTGTTGTTGTTGTTGTTGTAGTTTTTGTAGAGATGGGGGTCTCATCATGTTGGCCAGGCTGGTCTTGAACTCTTGGGCTCAAGTGATCTGCCCAATTCAGCCTTCAAAAGTGCTGGTATTACAGGCATGAGCCATCTTGCTCAGCCTTAAAATTTCAATTTATTTATGTCAGTACAGACTGATGAATTTTCATTTTATTCAATGTAGTACATCAATTATTTTCCTTATTTATTTTAATGCTTAAATTGCCCCAGATTTGATCAGTGGGAACCTCTCCAAGCTAGATTCTGTGTCCTTCTGACCATTTCCCATCATTTTTCCAGTATTTCCTTCTGATACAATGTAGTAGAGTTTGTATCTGTGTATGTATCTACCTTTTTACATCTATATTTTTATTTCTACCTATCTATATATTGGAAACCACAAGTTCACATTGAAGCCTCCAGTTTTAACACAATATCCTAACAGGGTTCATTTTAGTTTCCCCCTTTCCATAATTTAGGTCTCCCTTTACTGACAGTGAGAAACCTGGCTCTTATTACCCTGAACACATTGACTAATTTGATCAGTCCCTCTCGATATGATCATATAATCTCTCATTGCAGCCATGGACCCCTCCCATATGTAGATGCCCTTTTCACCCTACTTGAACCCTGAATTCCCCATTCTGGGCTTCTCAGTACACGTGGATGTCCTCCTTACCTCACCAGGGTTCTGACTGCTGATGTGGGACCATCTCTTCACCCTGCTTAGGTTTTGACACTCTGCATCAAGTACCACCCCATATGGATGCCTCCCACATCCTGCGTAGGCCTTTCCCCCACATGGATGCTCTTGCTCTGTTTGGCTTCCGAAACCCACCACAAGGTGCCCACACATCACTATCATCCTCATCCACTTGAAGCTGACTCTTCATGCCAGGCTGACTTCTCACTCTTCTTAGGCCTCAATATTCCAAGCCAGACTGCCCCTCTGCATGGATGACTACCTTGCTCTGCCCCACCTAATGTTCCCAGAAAGCTTTTTCTGATTATAAAAATCATACACATTCACTGTATGAAATTTGGAAAATATCTTTAAGAGCACAGAAAAGAAAATCTATAGTC